TGGAAGGAATCTCTCTACTCTAGCATGAACAAGTCTGAAAATAATTTTGTTCAGAAAATACTCAGACTGACTGTCCTGAGATAAGAAAAGGATTGTATCACTTCCTTTTTTGGTATTAGGACTAGATTAATATGAGTAATAGACTTTGGTAAAGTAGGTCCCTGAAAAAAAAACATGAATTATCTTAATAATATTAGGGCCTACTATATCCCAGCAAGTCTGGTCGAAGCAGCTTGCAATACCATCTGGTCCACAAGCACTATTATAATTAAGCTCAAACACCACTTTTTAAATCTCCTCTTCATTTGGCAAAACCATCAAAAATCATTTTTCTCCTGAGTAATCATACATTGAATATACTGCAACAATGTCATGTTTTCAAAATAACTCCTTCCGGAGAACTGATCTTTGAAAGTTATTTCATCAACAGTTTCAGCCCAAGATCCATCAACCTTATTAATTTTGTTAAGTTGCATTCTCCTCCTTCTTCCTTTAACAAGACAGTGGAAAAAATTTGTATTTGTATCTTCTTCAATAAATCATTGGGCACTTGCTTTCTGCCTCTAGAACTCCTCTTCATAATGAAGATATAGTTTCAATTCAACACGAGTTGCAGAAAAACTCTATTGATAGGATTAGGATCTTGTTGGAACAAATCTTCTTTAATTCTTACAATGTATTCCCTAATAGCCAACTATTTAAAAATATCTCCAAACTTCTCTTTACTCCATTTAGATTATGCCACCTTTGTTCTCTTCTTTTCGTGTTTCATTTGGATAAAAATTTCACCTTCAACTTCAGCAATCCAATTTTGACAAACCACTTCTTTGAAATCTTCTCTTCCAGACTATAATTTCAGGAATTTGAAAGACTTAACTACAAAAATATTACTAAAGCCACAAGACATCAGTAGTGGATCATGGTCAAATCCATTTCTAGATAAGTGTTGTAAACCAATATCACCATAAAGGTCTAATAATGATTGATTAACAACCACTTTATATAGTCTTTTGAAAATACAATCATCATTCAGCCTGACATTCCACCATGTAAAAGGATTTCCTAAAATATCCTTAAATTATGAAATTTTGTATAACATTGACTTTCCATCCATAAATAATAAATAAATATTTAATTATTTATTTTAGGGAACAATTATTCAAAATAAGAGCAAATATGAGACAAATGATCAATATCGAGTGCATATTTGAGCCAAAAGGTTGACATAAGGGGTATTCGGGGATCGATCAAAATGCCGATTTCTTCAAAAAAAAAACAATCAATACGACACAATTTGTCATTTTGGAGCGATGTAGTCCCGTTGCTTTTCAAAAAGCGTTGAGGACAAAAGCAACTGAAGTGACTGTGTCGCTTTTTCATCAATTTTGACCAAAAAATGACACAACTCGTCGCTTTTGGTTGTCAATTATTGGCAATTTTTTAGTAGTGAGATCCAAGAAGAAGAAAAAAAATGGAGAGAGGGGATGTGAAGGGGGGGAGGTGATTTTACTATGAAACACAAAATCAGGTCAATCATATGAGTCCATATATTAAGTAATTTCAAATTATTTTAATGGAGAAGGACTCTAAAATACCCTTAAACTATGAGATTTTGTACAATATTGCCCTCTCATCCACCTTGTGAGTGTGGGCCGTTAGAAATAAGGGTAGTTTTGAGTCAAAGGTTGACGTCTGAGGTATTTGGGGGACAAAAGGTGGACAGAGGGTAGTTTTGTACCAATTCAAATAGTTGAGGGGGCATTTTAGGTCTTTCTCTGTTGCTTCAAAATAGGCCTATAGATAGATATCATGAAATTAATTATTTTTTAAAATTTTATTTTCAAGCGTATCGGGTCAGAATATGAATTATATGTGATTTTTATTATTTATTTGATAATGATTTAAATTTGGACCAATCAGATTATGCAACATAATAAATAAATATTTAATTATTTTACTTTAGGGAATAGTTGTTGAAAATAAGGGTAAATATGAGACAAATGGTTAATATCGAGGGCATTTTTTGGGCCAAAAGGTTGACGTAATGGGTATTTGGGAACCGAAGGTGGATGAAGGGTTGTTTTGTACAGTTTCAAATAGTTGAGGGGCATTTTAGGTCCTTCTCTGTTAATTAAAACAATATCCAAATTACTATAACCCAACTCATAACATGGGATCCATCTAAACTTCGTGTTTCCATCTAAAATAAGATTATTATTTTATTAATGTAAAATTTTCTATTAAATATCCAATTGTCTTGTCATTCCCTCTTTCTAGATTTTTTAATCTCTTGATACATGTTCATATTTTTTTAATTTATACTATTTTCATGGTGGGGTAGGGGTGGGGATAAAAGAAAATATTATTTTTGTTCATTTATTTTGAATTTTGAATACACAAAAAAATGTTATTATATTATCGTGTATTGAATTAATCATTCCTTTATGAATGTCCTTGTTGTTTTCCTCCTTTTTATCTCCTTTGTTTTGTCATAAGTTTTAAAAAAATTAAAATGGTGGAGAAAATCCTCAACTCAACTATCTAAGCGACTAACTTTTGTACCTCAACTCAACAGTTCTCTCAAACTGTTCTAACTACTTTCCAAGAACTCAAACTCGCTTCTTGTTACAGATCTACACGCATCTACTCTCTACAATCTAGAAATTATTACAACTCAATAACAACCCTAGAACAACATCAACTGCAATATCAAGAATTAATATAAGTATTACAACTCAGTAAATACTCCTTTTACAAGAACTAACTTTAACACCAAACTATCACCATGTAATCGCTTGAGTTCCAATCTTCGCCTTCTTACCTTTCTTGCGTTTGCGATTTCTCTGATTTGTGCCTGCAATTCTGCAAAAAGGTGCAGCGTGTCTTTTTTCACATATAGTACAATTCTTGTACCCTAATTTGCATCTTCCTTTTCCTTGTATGAAACAAACTCTGCTAAGGAAACCTTACAAACATAGACTTCTTCCCATAATTAGCTAAAGTCTTTTTGGACGAGGACTCCTCTTGCATTAGCTTCTTTTCAATGATTTATTATGCATTCCTATATGCCACGGAAGCAGGGGCGAATTTAGGTATAAATTTTGGGTCATCAAAATCTATGATCATCCGATTAAATTTGATATATTATTTGTATAATTCTTAAAAATATATTAAATATTAGCTAAAGGAACACATGCCCAAAATGATTAGATGGTTCACTGGTCTAAGTCCCTCTTTTCAAGATTGATGTTGCTTGTTCGAATCCCAGCAAGTGCTCAATTTGAGTTGATATACTTCTCGTTATAAAAGTGACACAAATATACCCTTACGTTACAAAAATGGCTCATATATACCCTTTTTCGAAAGTGAAAAACTTAATTTAAATTTATTTTTTTACTTTTAGTTATAAAAAATCCATGTATAGGTATATTTGATATTTTTTTACAGGAATTATTTTTTGACTTATTTAATTAATATTTTTTGAGATTCTTATTCCTATTTTCTTTGTTTTTCGTTCACTTTAGTGTAAAACTGAGAAATCAAAAGAAAGAACTGTGAATGGAAAAAGTGAAAAAAATAAGAAAATATTTTAGAACAATTTTTTTGCGGTTACATTGTAGTTTAAATATATATTTTTTGTGCCTATATTGCAATTTAGTTTTTGTATCTATAAAACATTTTTGGGGAATCTATAATAAATTTTACAATAAAATTAGTGAAAAAAATAAATTTCACCATTATTAAACCCAAATTAGTCGTTGAATAAAAAAAAGTCTAAAAAAAATATGAGAAGGATCAAATATACCACTACATGAATTTATTTTTGCATTCGTTAGAGGGAAAGAGTATATGTGAGCCATTTGTAAGGCATTATACATATGAGTCACTTTCAAACGAGGTGTTTATCAACTCTTAATCACAAAGTTGAGGGGTACATTAGGTTGTTTTCCCTACAATTTTAGATCTTATCGTTAAAATAATGATGCACCTGTATCTTGAAATCCTGAATTCGCCTCTGCACGGAAGCATAAGTAAACTCATCAACCCGTAATCATATCAAGGGTCTCAACCTGATTCACTACCGCGAAAAGCCGAAAACCACGTTCACAAGTCAATTATGAAAAGTAAAATATATGTTTTTATTTCCGAACAATTTCCCAATGTATCATAGTTTAGTTTGTCAATCATCAAAATTAGTGGAGTTTTGGTATTATCCCAAATATTTTTGTTAGTTAAAAATAAAAGTATGGTACGTGGAAGTTAAAAGGAATTTTTTGGTGATATGATAGTAGAGTCTAGAAAGAAGATATATATGCCGTGGCATCCAAGTCAGGTTTGACCGTTTGCATGTTTGGCGTTAATATCGCACAATCGCAGGTTCAGGTAACCTCTCATTATTAGTGCAGAAAATAATGAGATTTTGGGTTGAATGAATTAATTCTCTTCATCTTCACCAAATATTGATTAATACTAATTATTTGTGGGTGTACATGGGCAACTGGATAACCTGCTGCGTCCGTGCGCGGGATCAAGTTGCAGGAATTCCTAACGCTGGAACCTTGACGTTTCCCACCTCCACTGGTATTATTCTCTTTTTTTCTATTATATTTTATTTTATGTGTCATTTACCTCTAGTTTTCTTTTCCAATCCAATCCAATGCTTTGATATGCATGCAGTAGTTTATTTTTTTACAAAATGGATATTGAGGATTGACTTAACTAATTGTTAGAATATAATGTAAAATGTGTGTACACTAGGTTTAACATGAATGGGTATCGATCTCATATCTTTTTCGTGACTAACAAATTGTGGTATTTACACCTTTTAACACATCTTTGTGGTCATTATAGTGTGTTTAGCTAAGGATAAAAAAAACTGAGCTTAATTCTGAAAATTATATAATTGGTTTTATGTTTTGTGCATTTTGTGGGATCTAGTTATTTGAGTCGGAAATATATGAGTTATTATGTGACCAATTCAAGCTGACATGTTTGTTCAGAATTTGCATACTATTCAGGAGGCACAGATTGCAGTCACCCTTTACCTGTTCCAACAGTCTCAAACCAGAATTCTAGTAGGAAAAAGAGAACAGGGATTGTACCAAGTCCAAGGTCTGAGAGTGAAATATTATCGTCTCCTTATTTAAGAGCTCTTTTGCTCTCTGAACTTGCAAAAGCTACCACCAATTTCCATTCTGATTGCCTTCTTGGTGAAGGAGGATTTGGTTATGTTTATAAGGGATGGCTATGCAACCACACTCTTACTGCTGCAACACCTGGATCAGGACTTGGAGTTGCAGTCAAAAAACTCAAGCCGAGAGGTTTGCAGGGTCATAAGGAGTGGCTGGTACGTTCTTTCGTCATTTTTTCCTATTAATTCCCCCCACCCCAACCCTTTAAGTCTATTGATTGGTTTCTTCCTATAGTCAGAAGTGAATTATCTTGGACAACTTCGTCATCCAAACTTGGTCAAGCTCATTGGATTCTGCTTGGAAGGTGAAAACCGCCTTTTAGTATATGAATTTATGCCAAGAGGGAGCTTGGAGAACCATTTGTTTCCAAGTGAGTCTTTATTTACATATTTCCTTCAATTAATTACTATGTCAATGGATTTGATTCAAAACTTTTTCTTGCCTAAAAATAAACTCAAAATTTGTTTCTACGTACACTTTCAATTATCTTCACACTTTACTTAAAATCTAATCCATTCAAAATTGTTGCATTGGATGGGCAAGGGAATCCATGTTTAGCCAATATCTGACATTTTATAGATGAAATAACAAAACTATGAGGTGTTCTTTGGAGATCAAGTTTATGGATCTGAAATTGTGCGGTTTGCAGAGAGTGCACCAGTTCTTCCCTGGGCAACAAGGATTAAAGTTGCTATAGCTGCTGCTCGAGGTCTTTCGTTTTTGCATGATGCGGAACCACAAGTTATATATCGTGACTTTAAAGCTTCTAACATCCTTTTAGACTCGGTATATATGCTCAAGAATTACTTTTTTTCTTTCATGGGTTAATATGTTGATTGATTGGTGGGTGAATGGGTACTTGATGATTGATATTCATTTTCTTTTGGTGTAGGAATTTAATGCAAAACTTTCAGATTTTGGCTTGGCAAAATCTGGCCCAACTGGTGATCATTCTCATGTGTCTACTCAAGTTATGGGTACTCAAGGATATACCGCTCCTGAATATCTTGCTACAGGTTTAGTTATTTTCATTCAACTAAAGAATTCTACTAGTGCCGCACGGAACATTAATGAGACTCTAAGTCCATGACATGTTACTTTATATCATTGCCTGTTAGTTTGACCCTGTGTTTTTCTATTTAGCAGGTAAACTAACAGCCAAATGTGATGTTTATAGCTTTGGGGTCGTTTTACTTGAGCTTCTTACTGGTCGTCGTGTAATGGACAAAAGGAAGGCTGGTGCAGAGCAAAATCTGATAGAGTGGGCAACGCCTTACTTGCATGACAAGAAAAAGTTGTTCAGGATTATGGACACCAAGTTAGAAGGGCAATATCCTCGAAAAGCAGCTACAATAGCAGCCACTCTTGCATTGCATTGTGTACACCCTGAATCAAGGGGAAGACCAGATATGTCATTTGTGCTGAGTGCTTTAGAACAGCTTCCTTCAAAATATATGTCTGGTCGTCCATTTGGGGATCGGAAAAAGATGTCCAAGTCTCGACACAAGTCTGAATCTGCATTTCCAGGCAGTGTTAGGACAAAACACACCTCTCGTATTTCAGAAGGTACAAAATCCCCACGAGAACGATGAAAATTTCTCAACTCTGAATGTAATTGAATTTTTTGGCTCATTGTTTTTAATTTTGTATCATACTACTTATTTCAAAGTAGCGAGCGACTCATATATACCATCCTGTATATATCTGTTATTAACTATACCACATGAATTTGGCCAAAGTTGCAGGGGTACTTAATCTAGTAACATATATGCTGATTTAATTAAGCTCAAGTGTAGGTTTCACTTATAAAATATCACTAGTTTTATTCTCAGACATTGCTTGTTATATTACAAATTACATGTTGGAAACAGATAACGGCTGTTGATTAATTGAAGCAAAGCAAGGAGGGGGATTTTTTGTATAGAATGTTTGGACTAACTTTTGTGTCTAATAATGTATGTATGTATGAATGATACTTTTTACTGTCATAGTAAAATGACTTACAATATGTAACTCTGTGACATAACGATTAGATTCGTAGAGTAATCTCTATGAATTTTAAATCAAAGAATGTATTCTTCCGTGTCTTTCGTTTCAAAATTGACGGAAATTTAGCTCCTCAATACCCTATACAAAGTCCTATGATCAACTAATTGTATATCACCACCTAAAGAGATAATGCTACAAAATCTTTAGGATAATCTACAAAATCATATTGCCTGGATAATTGTTTAAGTCTATAAATAGACCTTTTAAGATTTCAAACTTTGTGCTCTTGATCATTGTAATCATTATATAAATTTATAAAATTATTCGATGAAATAAATATTATGGATTAATATAATTGGGTTATTTATTTAAATTCAACAAATATGGAATTAATTAAAGTCTAAATTAAGTGATTTAGGCTATACTAGATGGACCCAATTTGTTAAGTCGAATGTCATCTCATCCTAGAAGCCATTTTGATGCCACGTGGAAAATGACGTGGCATGCCTAGTCAAGCAAAGAAGTTGATCAATGGATCATGCCACGTGTCAAAGATGACAAGCCCACCTCATAAAGCACATATGTCATGTCACTTAAATCTGATTGACCGAAGGAAACCTATTCCTATCACAGCTCCTCTATTCTAAAACTATAAATAGGGATCCTCATAATTCAAAAAAGAGACCAAGAATTCTAACAAGAAGCCTGAGAGAACTTGTGGATCAAAAGCCACCGATTTCTCTACAAGCTACAAGTTTAAAATTCAAACATTCAAGTTCAAGAACCATCAAGACCACAAGATTCAAGATTAAGCTTGAAGCCCTTGAATGCAAGTAAAAGTCAAGATCAAGATAAAGTTCAAGTTCATCAAACATTCAAGAAAATGCTCCAAAGCTCTTGAATCCAAGTTCAAGTTAAAGAACAAATTCAAGATCAAGCTCATGAGCCCTTGAATTTATATCTATAAAGACGAATCAGAGGAATAATAGAGATTGTAACACTCGCACTTTGAAATCAATAAATACAATTATTGCAATTATTTTCCGTTCTTGATTACTGTGTTCTCGACATGAATTCTATTGTCTACAATCATTTTTTATGAAACTTAATGGTTGCTCCGATATCTTCATTTTGTTCTGCATCGAAAAATTCAATCTTAATCGGTTGGGTGTAACTTAAGGTTCATAATTGCAACTACAATCAGAATTAGTTTGATAGAACTAAATCTCACAAGTGAGAATTAGGTATTTTCATAATCAATATCCTTTTGTTGTGTATACCCTTAGCAACCAAACGGGCTTGTAGTGTTTTGATGAAACTATGTATAACTTTAAAAAAAAAAAAAATTGAAACCACAAACAAAAGTCATATGGCAAGTGAAAGAAGATCCACTCTCTTCAACATATTCATTCAACCTTTTGGTTATTTGATAATTAAGCAGGCCTCGGAAGGCATTTTCCTGATAGATTTTACAGTCATCTGGAAATAACAAGTCCATTTCTCTTCAGCACTATCGATCGATGTATAAGGAAATGTTGTTGTCATGTTAATTTTCAAACCACAGTATGATGTCAGTACGTAGTATCCCTCTTCATGCAATAAAACCCTCAGTGTAGACATAAAATTCTGAATAAGCTAGACAAATTTCAACATCTATTTAATTAAATTGTGGGTTCTTGCCAACTAAAGTACAATCCCATTTTCGTTTTTGCTGTTCTAGTTCCTTCTCGTTGAGTTTAACAACTTTGATACCATCATCAATATAAGGGGATATAGTTGAGTTGCTTGAGTCGGGGTAGAGCTTTCAATGGAGAACGTGAGTTATCGTGTTGGTGTTAACGAATAAGAAACATGCGACAAAAGTGTTAGGAAAAACTATAATTGTATAGTAATCAGAAAATACATTCTTTCTTAGAATAGGATTGATTTGCAGAATATACAATTATAACCATATATACTTCTTCCTAGAATAGAACCAATTGTATAGTTATAAATATTTGCTTTCTACTGTATCATGGAGGAATAGAGAAAACTATTTTCAGAATATCTTATGTCTTTCTAGCAATATGGTATCAGGAGCCATCATTTTTTTTAAAAACGTGCTCTTTGCTTTCTCTACACAGGTACCTTGTTACCTTCCTGCGTTCCTCTTGTCTCTTTGTTTTCTCTGCACAGGCATCTGTCCTTTTTCTTTTCTCTTTCTCTGTTGTATTTTGTCTCCTCAATGAATTCACAATCATCCTCGCATGATTTGATCTCCACAAAATTGGATGGTTCCAATTTTTCTCTATGGGAATTCCACTTTGGAATTTTTGTTCAAAGGAAAGGGCCTTTTTGGGTGGTTAGATGGTTATGCTGGTCTGCCAACAGATGAAAAAGAGCTGGATCGCTGGAATTTGAATAATGCGAAGGTAATCGCTTGGATGTTGAATTCGGTACATGCTGACATTGCTATGAGACTTAGACCATTTATTCAGAGATGCGGCCCCACCTGCATAACGTCTACCAACAAAACAATCTAGCACGAGAGTTTGAAGTGGAACGCAACATTGTCGAATACGCACATGGGACAAGAATGTTCTTTCCTTTAATGTTGGCTTGCAGCTGCTCTGGTCTGAACAAGATCAAATTTCTCGGTGAAATATATCTACGACAGGGCTCAAGGAAGTGCTGGGAGAACGACAAAGGACAAGAATGGTACAGTTCTTGATGAAACTCCTACCTGAATTCGAGTCGATTCATGGCAGTTTGCTGAACAGAGAAGTCACATCTGCTCTTGATGTTGAGTTGGCAGTCGTCTTGCGTGAAGAGACCAGGGTTGGAACTCAGGCGGCCATGGAGTCGATGTCATTACTAGTTGTTGCATTACTTGCACAAAAATCAACTATCGATACTTCATCAAGAACTACTAAGAGAAGTGTCCAGTGCTATGAATGCAACGACTTTGATCACATAGCAGTCAATTGTCTTAAGAAGAAAAAGTTTTGTGCTTACTGCAAGATTACTGGTCATCATATTTTTCGGATTATCGTCATCGTCCTAATCGTTCACCAAGCATACTAGACGGATATCACTAAATCAATTGGTTCCTTCCCTTCTGGACATGATCTTGAAAGGCTGATTCAAGATTCTATAGTAGCAGCCCTTTCCGGAGCCATCTCAAGTGCACTCTCGGCATCCTCAGGTACAAGTAATTCTATTAAATCTACTTGGTATCTGAATTCGGGTGCTTCCAATCATATCACCGGAGATCTATCCCAATTTTATTCAGTGTATGATGATGTTTCTAAACATGTTATTCATACGGCAAACATGCATACATTGCCCGCCTCAAGTATTAGTTCTGTTGGAAATTTGTCTAACGTTCTTTATGTACCTAATTTGAAGGCTAATTTTGTTTCGGTAGGTCAACTAGTTGATCAAAATTGTGTTGTAAAATTCTCACCCAATGATTGTGTTGTTCAGAATCTGAAAATCGGGATGACCATGGCCAAGGGGCGTAGTGTTGGTAGAATGTTTCTTTTAAAGTCGGTTCATCATTATTTTCTTTTAGTTTCTACGGCGGATGTTACTCGCTCGAATAAGTTGCTCACTCTTTGGCATAATAGGATGGGTCATCCTCATTCCTCTCAACTTCAACAAATGCTCAAATCATACCTTCCAGCAATACATGGCATTCATTCCAGTCTCCCTCTGACATGTTCTAATTGTGCCGGTTCAAAAAGTCACAAACTCCATTTTCCATCTAGTTCATCTTCTTATGACGATCTGTTTGATTTGATTCATAGCGATGTTTGAGGTCCTTCTCCTATTTTATCAAGGATGGGATATAAGTACTTTGTGTTATTTATTGACCATGTATCTAGATACACATGAGTGTTTTTTATTTGAAAAAAATCTGAGGTTCTGACTCTTATTATGAATTTTATTGAGTATCTGTATACACAGTTTCATAAACCTATAAAAATATTTCGTTTTGATTCTAGAGGAGAGTAAACTAAGACGAATCTTGTTGAGTTTTCCAAAAACAAAGGATTATTTCTCAACACACTTGTCCTCATACTCCGAAACAAAATGGAGTCGTTGAAAGGAAGAATTAGCATATTTTGGAAACTACATTGGCTTTTTTGGGCACATCTAATATGCCTAAGAGTTTGCAGTACATACTTATGTATATTTGATTAATAGACAAACTTCCCCAATCATTGCTAATGAGACACCGTACTTCAAATTATTTCATAAGAAGCCTGATTATTCTCACTTGCGAGTTTTTGGTTGTGTTTGCTTTGTCCATCTTCCTGCACATGAACGACAAAAGCTTTCACCAAAGGCAACACAATGTATTTTTGTGGGATACATTCACACACAAAAGAGGTATCTGTGTTATGATGCATCTCATCGCCAGCTTCGTGACATGTTATTTTTTTTAGGATCAATTTTCTTACAAACACAAATCTAAACATGCTTCAGAATCTATTTCCTTTTTATACAAGTTTGATGATGATGTGGTATCTACTGATCCTCCGGAGTAGCACATGAACTATGATCATGATGATCTCCATCCTTCATGTTTTTCGGGTATTGACTCTACATACTCATCCTCA